ACCTTGAAGATTGACATCTCCAAGTATAGGGGAGTCGAAGAGGACTCCCTCTTGAGATGGTTCGTCGAATTGGATGACGCCATAAGGGCGCGTCGCACCGACGACGGGGATATGCAAGTTGCAATTGCCCAGTCAAATCTGGCAGGACGTGCCAAGACTTGGGCACTGGGACTCATGTTGCACGACCCATATGCGTTTGGGTCGTTGGAAGTCTTCAAGTCGCGGCTCAGACAAACGTTTGAACCGCCTAGAGCTGAGTTCAGGGCTCGAACCGAACTCTTGAAGCTCAAGCAGGGTAAGCGTGATGTGCACGCTTACGCTCAACATATACGACATCTCACGAGTTGTATAAGTTCCAATCCGGTTGATGAACACACGTTAATTTCGGTGTTCACGAAGGGTCTTGCGGATGGTCCCGTCAAGACTCACCTGTTCTGGCTTAAACTAGATTCACTAGAACAAGCCATTTCCATTGCGGAGCAGGAAGACTTCAGTATGAGACAGGCTCGCGCCAGCTCGACATCATATCGTCAACCGAGACGATATGACAGCGGAGGTCCAGAGCCGATGGAACTCTGTTATGTAGAGAGCGAGAAGGCTCGCTCTACAGACTACAAGAAGTTGCAGAGATGCAATAGATGTCAAAAGACAGGACACTACGCTTACGAGTGTAGTGCCCCTCGTCCAGTGTCTCGCAACACTGGGCGTAGTGACCGTCCACCCATGAGAAAGGGGCAGGGACGAGGGTCCGCTGTTGGTGCAAAGACGCAACAACGGGATGGACCGTCAAAAAACAGACAGGATCAGTAGGTGCGGAGCACCCTACTGGTCCAGCAACGTCAAGAGAATTTGTAGGCCTCTTGATGAAGATTGCTCCCAACACACAAACGTTGTGCGTTGCTGCTCTAGGTAATGAGATCTCACTCATTACCTTGAAACTCGAAGTGTCGAATGAGTTGTCCCTTCGAGCTCTAGTCGATTGTGGGGCGTCCAACAATTTCGTGCGACGCCAATCGCTAGAAGATGGTCACTTCAAGTTCAGTGTATGTGACACACTTCCTACGAGGATGACGGTACGTCTTGCCACAGGCGCATCCGTAACCGTCATGAAACGTACAGTGAAGATCCACTATACGCTAGAAGATACCCAATATGACGATGACTTTATCGTATTGGATTTGGATGACAAATTTGATGTCATCCTTGGAATAACGTGGCTCAGAAGGTACGAACCACGGGTAAACTGGCAACATTGAACAGTAACGATGCCTGCCGCTTGTTTATCAGATGGCCATCTGATGAACGTTTTGGAGCGTCCACAAGCGTGTGGATGTACTACGAGTGAGTGCGATGGCCTCACTTGTGGTACGGTCGTTAGTACGACTGCACAAAACCTTAGTGTACCAAACGGTTACACTTCGGAGCAAAGTTCCGGCGGCTGTGAGGAAACACAGGCTGCGCCGAAGGTCCACCACTCGAATAAGTCGAGTGGACCGGGACAAAGATGTATCCCTAGCGGGGAACATCTAGAAGAGAAACAATCGATCGCTCAGGTTAAGCGAAACGATAATCCTAGATCGACTGGAGAGTCTTTCGTAGAGGATCTCGCTGTGGTTGCGCAACCCCAGCTAGAGGAAGTAAAGGGAATAAGTCCCGATATTACAAATACGGTGGAAAAAAGTTCCCCGAAACCCGAGGTAATAAGTCTCTGGGAAGCCGAAGGAATAGGTCCTTCGAAGCCTGAGGGAATAAGTCCCCAGGAAATGACAGAGACATTGAATGTCTTAATCAATGATGGATCAAGTGTAGGCGCTTATACACTTGATCTGATTGCGCCTCCGAAGTTAACTTCGGAGATCACTCAGTTGCCAACGCTCGAACATAAAAGGTTCTTGCGTGATCTGCGTAGTGGCAAAGTCAAGCAAATCTGCGTACTCGTCGCTGAAGACGAGTGTGTAGCCGACCTAAGGTCAGCAACAGTGTTTACTGAGAACGAGAGAGTTCTCAGTAGTTCATCTATGGACGAGAGTGTCCTAGATGAAAAGACACGAGTTGAGCGATATGACTCCCAATCGTGGGAATCGCTCAAGACAAATCCTCTCTATGAAGATTTGGTTGAATTCAAGGATGAATTCCCTGAAACCGTTCCGTGCGAATTACCGAAGGATAAAGGTATTCGACACGAGGTCGAGCTTAAAACAGGCTCGAAGTACTGTGTCATGAAGCAGTGGCCACTGCCTCGTGAACAAGTACTTGCGATCGACAAGTTCTTTGCCGATCGTTTAGCTGCGGGCCATGTGAGGGAATCAACTTCCCCACATAGCTCTCCGACCTTCTGTGTGCGAAAAGCAACAGGAGGGTGGCGGATAGTGCATGCAATCAGCAAGTTGAATCCTGCAACAGTACCGGCTCAGACACCGATACCAAGGAAGGACGTAATCATTGATGGTATGTCAACGAGTACCATCTTTTCGTCCATGGATTTGAAGGATGGCTTCTATCAAATCATTTTGCGAGAACGGGACATACCCTGTACCGCAGTGAGCACGCCTAGCGGCATGCTCTGGGAATGGCTAGCAATGCTACAAGGGCTAAGTAATGCCCCTGCCACGTTCAACAGATGTGTATCACATCTGTTGAGACCAGTACGAGAATTCGCGCCGAGTTATTTCGATGACGAATTCATCCATAGTCGAGCTATGGATGGAAAGTCGGACGTTGAGGTTTACAGGTACCACGTCCGACAGGTTCTTACAATTATGCGAAAGCATCAATTGTATGCAAACCTCAAGAAATGTATATTTGCAGCAAGCGAATACCACTTCTTGGATGCATCGTTGGTAAGAACGGTGTACGTCCTGATCCCGAAAAGATCAAGGCGATCACCGACTGGCCTGTGCCGGTTGATGTCAAAGGTCTTTGAAAATCCCTTGGGCTAGCGGCGTATTTGCACTAGTACTCACGCAATTACGCCGAGATGACTGTACACATCTCTCGTTTGTTGAAAATGAACGAGAAGTGGTTATGGAACGCTGAATGTCAGTGCTCCTTTAAAGGCATCAAGCAGAGCTTGATACAATCCCCAGTCCTAGCAATAGCGGATCAGGACAGGCCTTTCATGTGGTCTTTGATGCTAGCGATTTCGCAATCGGCTGTGCATTGATGCAGTACGATCTTGAAGGCGTTGAACGCGTCGTCTGCTATCAGTCGCGTCAGCTGCAACCTGCTGAGCGGAACTATCCAGTTCATGACAAGGAACTCCTTGCCATGAAGTATGCAATCGCGAAGTTCAGAGTCTATCTATCAGGAGATAGAACCTTCATTGTTTACACTGACCGTGCGTCATTACGCACGGCAGTGAACAGCCCGCACCTTTCACAACGAATGGCGCGGTGGTTGTCATTCTTTGCAGAATACAACTTTACGGTCGAGTACAAACCAGGACGACTTAATGTCGTTGCTGATGCACTCTCACGTCGTCCCGACTTTGAAACAGTCGTTAAACCCGGCAGTGAGACAGTCACTGTTGCGGTTATGACGTCCTCAGTACCATCTTTAACGTTACATGATGATGTGAGGCGGGCATACGTCCAAGATGGTGATATTGTGAAGTTGTTGACACATCTCTCACAGCCATCTCGAGAATCGTTGAAACGATTGTCGTCTGCGTATCGATCTGCATCAGATCAATGCACTACTCGCAACGGTTTACTATACTATACAGCCGTTACTGGTGATACACCACGTGTTGTCATTCCAGAAGATACTGATCTGCGTTTGCGGATCGTGTTCGAGTATCACGATGCTCCTATAGGAGGACATCGTGGCCGTGAGAAAACGTGTCTCACGGTGAGTCGAGACTTTTACTGTCCCCGCCAGTATCAGTTTGTGCGAAAGTATGTTCGCGCATGCGAAGTCCGTCAACGAGTGAAGTCAAGTCCTTCACTGCGTGCACCTTTACAGCCCATACTAGTTCCGGCAGAGTGCTGGGAATCCATCTCAATGGATTTCGTCTTCGGGCACCCAAAGACGCACGCGGGAACACGGGTATTCTCGTATTTGTTGACAGATTCAGCAAAATGGTCCACCTTGTGGCTGTGCCCGAGTCATTCACGGCAAGTGGCGGTGCTTGTGTCTTTATCGACACCATCTTCCGACTTCATGGGTTACCCCGTGAACTCGTATCAGACAGAGATCCACACTTCACTGCTTATTTCTGGCGTTCGTGTTCAAATCACTCGGAACGCGCTTGAAGATGTCGATATCTGATCATCCAGATTCAGATGGTCAGACGGAACGAGCCAATCGTGTCCTCGAAGAGATACTTCGAGGAAACATACACTCCTTTAAGAGTTGGAGTGAGTTTTTGCCAATGGTAGAGTTTGCCATTAACAACTCGGTGCATGCGTCCACGACACATACACCGTTTTACGTGAATGGCTTGCGCCATCTGCGTGTACCCACCTTACTAGAGTGTAACTCTGGTTTAAAGGGGGGGGATACTCGCGCGAGCAAATACCGATTTGGTTCACGCTCATCACGCTATTACGATAAGGTCATCGCGTTTGATGCCGATATCGACAACATCGGTATCGAAGAAGATGATGCCAGTGAGAGGGCGGAAGCCCTCACTAAAGAAAAGGTTGGTGTTGCTGCAGTGCACTCACAGCGCACTGAAGCTAACGAGTCATCAGATGAGTTCATACTGGCTCGTGAAACGGTAGTCATTCTTGTGCAAGACTCCATCGCCGAAGCGGTGGATAAGCAAAAGCAGAACGCTGACAAGAATGGAAGGGCAAACACTCTTCTATTTAATAAAGGTGACTTAGTCCTACTGTCTACGGTTAATCTACCAAAGCACGTAGTGACTAACTTGGGTAGCAGTAAACTACTACCCAACTACATCGGCCCATTTCGTGTATTGCATCGCCTAGGCAATGCATACACGATCGAGTTGCCACGTAAGATGCAAACGCATCCCATGTTTTACGTTGGTCGGCTTAAGCCGTACCATCAGTACGCTGCTTCTTCCGATGAAGAACGCCCTTGCGCTCAAGCATCTCGCAGAGAGCCTTGTGCTCCCGATGGTGGGCATCAACAAGGGTCTGAAGAGCAGTTATCTCAGCCCGAGACCGATCAGCAATCCCACGAGCTACCCTTAGCTCGTCACGCAGAGATGTCAGAGATCTCTCGTTCTCAAGCTGAGCAAAGGCAAACTCAGCTCGATGCTTCAAGGCAGTGTCCGCCATCTGGAGACGCCTATTCCGCTCATGCTCGAGATCGTCGCGTAACCCTTGCGTTACGCGATCAAAGAAGCTCTCGGGAACACACCGATCCACATGATCGTGTGGAGAGCGTCTTTCCTCCTCCTCCACCTCCATTAGAAGACTCTCGCGGTGGTCAGCGCTATCTGTTTGAGCAGATGTTGAACCACCGCGACGTGAACGGACGTCGGACGAGTTATCTTGTCCGGTGGCGCGGCTATTCCCCGTCCTGGGATTCCTGGGAGCCCCGCTCCCAACTGATGGTGGAAGTACTGGGTCTGGTTGAGCAGTACGACGCGGCACAGGATGTGCCGCAGAAGGACCGCTGGAGAAATTATTCCCGGCACGGTCGTAAAGGGATTTCAGGTTGTCAATCCCTTCGTACATCTCAGTAGAGACACGTACGCGCCACCAGGGGTTATTAGGGAGGTAATCCTCCTAAGGTGCTCGTGCAGAGTTGTTCACACAACATGGGCACGAGTCTGCCCAGGAGAGGCAGGGTAATCCTTTCTCCCTTGACAGACGATGCAGCTAATAGCGTGCACCTGTCACGGTTCTCTTATCAAACTTATCACGAGCTTTGATAAGTTTGTCGTTCCAAAAGTCGCGACCTATATCCTCAAGGTTTTAGATGTGAGCGTTCCACACTTGAAGTAGTGAGGGACCATCACGCTTGTGATTCCCACTGTACCATTGATGTTTAAAAAATGCATCGATGAAGAAATCGTTCTCAGCGCGATAGTTTTTCGCACTGGGGTCAAGGTGATGGATCCTTGACGAATCGAACAATCGTGTTCAATAACGATCACTCGTCGTCGCCGACAAGTGATCCATGATGGATTTAGGAGGCAACCATGCCTTCTTCTCGGGAGCGAGACGCAACACACTGCGGTCCCGCTCTTCTTGCGATGTGCCGACAGAAGTACTGGCACCTCGTTGCGAAGTGGTGTCAATAGGAGAACTGACACCACTATTAGCGCCCGAGTCTTGCGATCTCGAGCGCCTTCGCTCTGGCGATGGTTCATCTGATTCTTTAGACGAACCAAAGATGCTACGACGCGTAGCATCATCCATGCCACGCTTGGCAGGCGTCTTGGTTACAACCGCCTTCGATACGGATCCGTCTTCCGTGTCAGGACAGTATGAGAAACCGAGCTCATAGTCTGTGAAGACATGAGTGTCTTCATGACCAGCGCCTGCATCACCAGGTGACACAGGCTGAGTCGCTTCAGCAACCGATGAGACATCAGTTGCTGCGGTTTCTGCTTCGGCGTCCGCACAGAGACGTGCGGACGCGCTCTTGGCGGCCTTGCTCGCGCACCGCATGGGCTTGTTTATTATACGATGAAATGTTGGAAAGTGGACGCGGACCAACAAGTGCAAACCCTGTCCCGAATGATTTGGGATGACTATCCATTTAGTCAATCAGTCACTATAGTGACTGATGGTCAAGGGGGGGGTGATGTAACGGGGTGAATCGTTACATAACAATTTATAAGAAATTGTTAATAGAATATAACGATAAGAGTTATATTCTCAGAATATTGTCATAAGGACAAATAATCTGTAGCACTTACGAGTTCCTGATTGGTCAATATGGGCCATTTGATCAACCAACAAAGACACGCCACGACAGACGCACGCAATGAGTGGTGAGCAGATATTTGATATACATATTTGCATTCAGACATAGTTAGATGAAGATAAATAGTGATTTATTACAGACATTGACTATGATAAATACAGTTCTACTTTTTACTTTGACCAAAAACTCGCTTCTTCTTACCGTCTTCATCTGCACGTACGAGTGTGCGTGAAGTTCCGAGGCACCGCCTTATTCTGTCATCAGAATAAGTAGCTTGTACTGTCATCATTACAAGCTTCAGGGTGCCCCGTGACAATGAAAGTGTTGACGTCTATCGATACTCTCAAAGCATGTTTGGTGGAAATGATGTTGAATGCAAGCGTCTGCTTTGGGATATTGCAAAGGGCACGGCAATTCATAGCGCTTGGTTTACGACTACGAGAAAGTATGGCAATCACTGAGCAGAAATGGAGCGATCGAATGGAGCAAGTCAATATCAGTAGGAGCAAGTCAATATCAGTAAGAGGGAACGTGTCAATACGAACAAGCGGGTCGGAACGTGTGAATCAGAAGTTTTGATCGAGGCAAATTGATCAAGGCGAGTTGATCTGAACGTGTGTAACTTATCGTAATGAGGGGATGGCTGGCTAAGATGATTTGCAAAGTCTCGAAAGTCTTGCTACGAAATAGAAGGTGTTGTCAAATGTATTTTTTGCAGCTGTTTTAATGATCAAACCACAAGTGAGGCCATCGTACTCACCCGTTGTACATCCTTGTGGTGGTGGAAGCTCCAAGACGTTTATCGGGTGGGTGTTTGGTGAACAAGCGGTGGGCATACCGCCACTTCGTCAATTCCAGCTGACTTGTGGATTAAACCTATTGAGCCACGGTAAATTAAGGAAAACATCTAATTTGTCATTTAAGCCCCAGACGATGAAGTCATTATCGCATCGGACTTCTTTCAGTGTATGGAAAATTTCTACTACATGTTTTACTACTGTTACGGATGCGCCAGTATCGATGCGTACTATCATCCTCGTTGTTAAAATCTTTTGCTCGATGTTTTTATGCTTGCTACCGTCTAGCGATTGAAGATGTAGAAAGTTGTTTGACATTCCACAATTTTCTAGGGTTCGTAGCGACATGTCCTTTGCCACTTCGAGTGTCATGGTAATGTAGAAAATATCATTACCAGACGCAACAAAACACAATGATTGCGTGTTGGGAGCAATTCTCGTCTAGACGCCTTCGAATTCACTTTATGTTGTTGGGTCTGTAGGGTGCTCCGCACCTACCCACCCTGACCGTTTTTTGGTCGTCCGTTACGGTATCGCGTTTCCAAACTGCGTCGGACCCACTCTTCGGACCCTTCTTAGTCGCTTGACATTTACTGTTTCCTGCGGTACATGGTACCTCGTAAGTGGCATTGTATTTTATGCGCAATGCCCTAGCTTTTCACACCTTATGCATGTCTGCTGTATTTACAATTGTTAGCGCGAGAGCTTTCACTGCCATCGTAATTGATTTCTATCGGTTCTGGGCCTCTGCATTCCTCTTGCCTCGGGGAACAATAGGAGTTTGATCTCACGTGAGCTTGTTTCACGCTAAAAAGTCTTTTTTTGCAACTCGGATTGCCTCTTTAAGGGCATAAAGTTCCAACTGGAAGAGATAGCTCCTGACTAAGCCGTCTGTGAGACCACGCATGAACAATGTGACCAACGTTTGTCCATTCAGTGGATTGGACGTGATGCGACTCGTAAGATGACGTATGTACTGAATGTACGATTGTTTATCACGTTTTACTTGTTTGAGTTTCAGGGGTTCAGAACGAGCCCTGAACTCAGCTTGCGGTGGTTCGATTTTTCGCCTAATTAGGGACTTGGAGACTTCTAACGACTTAAATAAAAGGTCGTGTTTTGTTAAGCCCAAGGTCCAAGTCTTCACACGCCTGCCAAGTTAGACTGAGCAAATAAAACCTGTTTATGTTCATCAACGATAGAAAGATTCCTTGTGTCGTCATCTATTACAGCAATCCATCTCTGCAGAGAATTTTTTAAAGGTGCTCTGTATTAATAAATGTCAACATTCAGTAATTCGAGTCGACGTAAGTGTGTCGACCCGGTGGCAGCAGCCTGATGCTGTCTCAACAATTCGTGTTGTCGAGTACTCTTCTATCAGCAGCTTTGTCTGTTGAGATCCTTGCTGATGAAGTATGACTACCTTTCCTTGTTCAGCGCCAACTTCATACTGATCAATCTTGTCGATGGTGACGTGCTACCCGTTCGAATTGATAGCGCACAGCATTGCGCCTATGGCTTCTTGCCCTATCATCTTACCTAAGCGTTCTACAGCATCATATCCATTTTAGACTTAAATGGAAGTAGCCTTTATGCGTCGAATGGAAGTATTCCGCTACACCGACCTACATGTTCATAGTCGTTGGATGGACTAAGAAGTGATACCAGGAGTCGTGGCACAATCTACTTACACTTAACACATAATAAGGTGGTGCATTAAGCCGTCAAGTACAACCGTCGTGCAAAGGAATCTTCAACACGTGAGAATGATGAAGAAGAACTATAATTAGTAAGGTAAATTTCATTTCAAAAAATTCTACTTAGTCTTTATTAAGCTATCTTAATGCAAAGATGTACTGTAACTACCTGCTCACTACTTATTGCGCTATTCTGTCGTGTCTTGGCTTTATTAATTGATGTCGCAAATTTATGTCGACAAATGACCAGTGTATAACCCCTGCAGCACAACATTGACTTATCTAGCCTATATATTTAAAATATTTCAATTGTCCTAACGTAATTTTCGTAACTGAAATTTGCCTTGTGTATACTATTATGTTACCGAGGCATTCCGTTATACGCACACCACTTCATCTTCGGTCAAACCCCATCTTTTTTGCTACGGGTCCACCCGACCACCTTAATATGTGGCAGCTAATCACCACTAATAGTGCAAAATACTTTACATGTACCATACATTTGTATCAAGATGGACCTTATTCGATCTCTGGAGTGGTTCGATCAAGGGTTATGTGATCAAGGAGAGAATTTTCTTCTTCTGGAAAAAGACCTTTAGTCTCTAAAGACCCATTTTGTCCGCCAATTAAGTCTGAGTATCTCATTACTCTTCCAAACCCTAGAAAATACCTGATTAATCACACACCAGCTCCCAAATCCTTATATAGCGGATAAACCCTTGATAGGGATAGCAAATAAAAATGGTTTTTTGTATTTGGCGAAGTTCCACATATAATTTTTGACGTATTATGTTTTAAGCTGGAAAAGTCGCGCAAACTATTCCAAGCTGGTGGAAAGTCTCGATCTCATGCCTTCACAACAGTGTAGATATTATATTTTACAAACAGCTCAGTGACTTTATCAGAGAGGATGTGAGATTGATATTGAACGATCCCCATCTTCACTGGCCATAATGAAAGCTATCTCTCTTCACCCTGAAAGTATTGAGACCAGAAGATCGAGCTCATATTGTGTTAGAGCAAGTAGCCAACAGCGTCACGAGGTGCCAAAATACCAAAAAAAGGCACTTATTTAGCCTCTTTACAAAAAAATTATTTTTCCCTGTCTGATCAAGCAACCAGAAGTTGTGAGGGCACAGGGCTTTCCAAGCTCCTCGACGAAAAGAAAATCATATGGGTTTGTACACGTAAAAAATTGCACAAGAGCAGAAATGGCAAAAGCGTAGCACATGTGGTAGAGTTGCTGACTGCTTAACCTCACAAAACTTCTTAGTTCAAAACGCGCCTCCTACGTTTGCATCCGCACTT